TACGGGCCCTCAAATAGCTGCTGCCAAAGGGGGCCCCTAATCCCGCCATGGGCCCCCCATATAACCCCCCTCCTCTATGCTGCTGCCAAGTCCAGAGTTCTCAAAGGGTTTCCCCGGGAACGCCTCCCATTGCTGCTGTTTTCCATTTGCCACCCTCTGGGTGCCATGTGCCACTTTTAGGGGCTCTTCCCCACTGCTGGTTTTGTTTAAAATTTTTTTTTACATAAAGGGGGCAGGCAGGGTTAAAAATTACAAACCCCTTTTCCAAAAAACCTAAAAATTTCCAAAAAAACCCCCAAAAAAAACCCAAAAAAAACCCTTCTCCAAGGGCTAAAATTCCCCCCCGGTTTTGGGCCCCCCCACCCCCCACCCAAAAAAACAAACCCCCTTCCAAAATCCAAAAAAAATTTCCAAAAAAAACTCTTCAAAAAAACCCCCTTTTTTAAAAAAAATTTTTTAAAAAAAAATACCCCCCAACCAATTACGGGCCCCACCCTAGCTGTTAGTACCGCCTTTACGAACAGCGATTAAGGCCTATCACGATTTCCTGATGTTACAAGCGGATTACAACGGTATCCGCCTGTGGAACTTAGATGTCAGCCATTGGTACGCTCATTGAGTTACACCTGCCGCTTGCTCAGGCCCTGTTGGGAGGCCACGATATTCAGTGAGACGGCAGGATCTGGACAGGACTATGGTTACTTTATGAACGTCGTCATTCCTCTGTTGCAGCGATCCTGGAACAAATGCTGTTAACAATGGCTGGACAGGAGTTACGGTAGATCGTGGCGCACTGATCTCAACGCCTAACATGACCCTCACCTGGGGGCAGTGACCAGGAGCAAGAAGAGGAGTAATTGGTAGAGGAGGGACATTGTGTGCTCAGGAACCGCCTTATTGAACTGTGCTAATGGCCCATCACAGGTTTTTCCGGACCTAAAGCGGACAGGCGTGGATGAGCAAGGTACTCCATTCTGGTAGACGTGAGGATGTCAGCCATTGTCAGCTCATGTGTGACACACCTGCGCTTGCTCAGGCCCTTTGAGGAGGCCACGCTATTTCGTGAGTCGCAGGACTATGGGATGAATGAGGTGGCAGATTACAGGCCTTCCATAGGTGCCACCAAAGCCCCATATCGGCCATGGGCCCCCGTACCGCCTGGTCACGCTGCTGCTGGGCCCACAGTGTGACCTGGGTCCCTGTACCGCCTCCCATTGCTCCCACTCTGCCATGTGCCACTTTCAGGTCTCCTCACGCTCCTGCTGGTTTCCATTTTGTCATAGGTTGCTGTATGGCCTCCCATTGCTGCTGCCTCCACCGCCACACTGTGGCTCCAAACACTGGTTTTGGCCCCGTGACTGCCCAAATGAGTGAAGTGTGCGGTGATTCTAAGATCGACGGCACTCATCTGCATGTCATACTGACAGACAGTATTATTTCTCTTCCCCAGCAGACTCCAAGGGCATTTAAATTAAAGGTACAGTGTTCTGCACTAATATTAAGTCTCTCTGAAGCCTAGAAACACCCTTTTTTAAGTTAAATTCACAGCGAATTTATTCGACTCGAATCGAATATTGTCCACGAATTCGCCGAATCAGTCGAATCAAATTTTTCATTTCTTCGCTCATCTCTAGACATCACCAATCTTGTCTCCAAATATCACCCAAACCCTCGCATGACCTCCTACTCTCTAGCTCCCTTGTCTCCTCTTCCCAAGCTCGTCTCCAGGGCTTCTCCAGAGCTTCCCCCATCCTCTGGAACTCTCTGCCCCAATCTATCAGACTATTGCCTACTCTGCCCACTTTTAGGCGATCTCTGAAAACCCATCTCTTCAGGGAAGCCTATCCTGCTCTCAGCTAATAATGGAATCTTCTACTCCTCCTACCAGTCCATCCCCCACAGTTACTACCTTTTGTACCACTAGCCCCTCCCTTTTAGATTGTAAGCTCCAAGGAGCAGGGTCATCCTAACCCTCTTGTATTGAACTGTATTGTTGCTGTATTGTCTCCCGTTATATTGTAAAGCTCTGAGCAAACTGTTGGCGCTATATAAATCCTGTATAATAAATATAATAATAAAGGGAAACTCTGATGTACAGGGTTCTCTGGTCACCCCCCCTCTTCCTACACAAGAGTCCACAGAGCTCCCCTTTACATCATCCTTACATCACAGTCCACAGAGTTCCCTCTTACATCATATTCCAGAGTTCCCCTTTACTTCACAGTCCATAAAGTTCACCCTTACATCAGAGTCCACAGTGTTCCCTTTTACATCAGTGTCTGCAGTGTTGCCTCTTACCAGGGGGAACCCAGCGGACCCTGATGTAAAGGGAAACACTGTGGACCCTGATGTAAAGTGGTACACTGCATACTGTCCGTGATGTAAAGGGTAACTCTGATCACCAGAGCCCCCCCCCCTTCCTTATACAAGACTCCCCAGAGTTCCCCCTTACAGTGCAGACCCTGTTGAAAAGGTGAATGCTATGGACTCTGGACTAAAGGGTAACTCTGATGTAAGGGGGTCTCTGGTCACCAGAGCCCCCCTTTACTTTGCAGTCCGCAGTCTTCCCCTTTACATAATGGTCCACAGAGTTCCCCCTTGTACTGTAAGGGGGAAACCTGCAGACTCTGATGCAAAGGAGAACTCTGAGGACACTGATTTAAGGAACTCTGGTGTGTATGCGTGGGGAAGGGGGGGTAACCAGTGGCAGAGGCCACCTCGTGCAGAGTGAATACAATAAGGAAATGGGGGTTACTGATATAAAAGGCTGACTCCTCTTCAGCTTTCAGTTAGTACCACCTCAGTCTGCTCTGCACTATGTCCTCTTCTCCTCCACCACTGCACCAGTCCTTCTTAGTCCCAAATACAGGTTACCCTGACCAACCCTGCTACAGTTCATAAAAGGCACCATGACCTCACCTGCCCCCCTGTCCAAGTCCATTCAAGCCCTGACAGATTCAGAACTGCACATGTGCATTTCCGAAGCTGGCCTGGCCATATTTTTTTATGGGTAGTGGCTGTCCATAATGGACATTTTTGGACAGTTTGTAAATCAGCTGATATTTACAAACTGTCCATAGATTTACAAATGATTGACAACCCTGTACCCCACTTTATCAGATGTGGGTGAGCAATTTCTCCACACCTTAGGGTCACTCTGAAATTAGACCCCAGACTTTATAGCAGATGACGGAATGTGTTGTCAATTTAAAAACAGATAAGATGAAAAATATGACAGCACAAACAATATACTGAAAAATACTTAAGGGTGGAGGGGGAGCTGTGACAAAAGGGTGCAGAGGTGCACTCTCTGCATAACACAATCTTGAACACTGCACTCTGTACACAACACACTCTTGAACCCTGTACTCTGTATACAAAGCACTCCTGAACCCTGCACTCTGAATGCAATGCACTCCTGAATTCTGCATTCTGCATTCTGAATTCTGCACTCCAGAACCCTGTATTCTGAGCATAGCACACTCCTGAACCCTGCATGTAATTTACTCCCGAACCTTACATTCTGAATGTAATGTACTCCTGAACCCTACACTCTGTACATAGCACACTGCAGAGCCCTGCATTCTATGAATATTGCACATCTGAACCCTGCATTCTGAATGCAACACATTCTGGAACCCTGCATTCTGTGTTTAGCATACTTTTGAGCCCTGCACTCTGTGTGTAATGCACTTTTGAACCCCGCATTCTGAGTGTAACACACTCTTGAACTCTGAATTCTGGATACAACACACTCCTGTACCTTTCATGTAATGCACTCCTGAATCCTGCATTCTGTGCATAACTCACTCCTCAACCCTGCATTCTGAATGTATAGTACTCCTGAACCCTACATTCTGTGTGTAGCATACTCCTGAATCCTGTATTTTGTGTGTAGCATACTCATAAACCCTAATTTTGTGTGTTATGCACTCTTGTCTTCATTTAACAATGCCCCTTTAAGACCCTCCCACTGCTATTGGGTCACACCCACTCTATGGTGTGGCGTCCAAGGGTTCCTGCACCTATTCTCTGAGAAAAAAAGCCCTGTCAATATCAAACAGGTCAGGGACTAGGTTGCCTTTGGGTGCATGCAATGAGAGAACTAAGTATAGGTCTCTTGTAGATATTAGAATATACAATGTAATGATAACCACATGTAGCACCCTCATAGGTAGCTAGGGGGAGCTAGACTCCAATAGTTAGACAGGCGCTGAGCAGCAACCCAGGTGTATATAGCCAGAGAGGGGTCAAATTATGGTAAGGGCTGAGAGGCTCTGCAGGTCAGTCCCTCTGAAATCTCCCCCTGCTCTAGGGCTTTTGGAGGAAGGTCCTGGAGGCAGTCGGTGAATCTGAGGAGTGGCTGGTTGCACTTTTGAGGGATCCTAGCTAATTCCCAACAAAAGGTTGGAAAGGGGTTAGACACCCTTAAAAGTATTGAGGCCTGCTCAATAGCAGGGGAGTTGGGGGGGAGAGTTCAGGTGGAAGGCAGGAAGCTGTGAGGCTGAAGGAAGCAGGCTGCAAGGAAACCAAGTGGGATGAGGCCTAACTGCAGGCCAGGAGCTGGAAAGGAGGAAAGCTCAGAGCTCACTGCCCCCCTGAGAGAAGACAACCTGTATGGCAGGCGAGGAGTGGCCAATCTGATAGGTCTGGAAGCAGCCACCAACCTACAAGCAGTACAGGAGATGATCTGAATGAGTACACCTACAACCCCTGGGTGGATAGCGGAAGGAGCACTCTGGTGGAAAACCAATTTTCCTTCAGTGATCTGGTTGATGGCGGCCCAGACTGGCGCAAGGAACAGAATGCTGGCATTCCTGGAACAGACCTAAGTGGCAGTAGAACCAGATTGTTATGTAATGCTGCATGCTCGGGTTTCCCGATGGCAGATGTACAGGTCTCAGAGCTGTATCCGGTGGCAGCAGAAGAGTGTAGATAATCTGAGTATCTGTAAGGAAATTCCCGTGAGACGGCTGGTGAATAGACATGCGCATGCGCACAGAAATGCGAAATCGCGCATGCGTATGTGCACACGCACTGCGAAGATGGGCGCCAGACGGACTATTTAAAGGGTGCCTCTGCCTGTGCTGAGTGCTGACTGGTCTTCAGCTGTTCCCCGTTTCCTGCTCATTCCTGTGTGATTCCCTTGTTGCTGACCTGGCTTGTTCCTAACCTGACTCTTGATTACTCTCCTGCTTGATACTTGTTCCTGACCTCGGCTCTGCTCATGACTTTGGCTTGCTTATGATTTGGTACCCCTCGCTGTCCCGCCCATTGATGACCCCGGCTATTCCTATGACATTGCTCCTGTCTTCCATCCCAGCTTCCTGACTTGCTCTGGTGCACGCCTGGCAATCTACCATACCAGCTCTACATATCGCTGCTGTTCTTGAATTGGTGGTCCATCAGTCTTTTAAGGACTCCAGCTGCAAGTGCTGCAAACAACATCTGCTGGCACTCTTGTCCCCCTGGTCCCTAGACACCCTCTGTTCCACTTCCAGTGGGGTCAGGGCTAGTGACACAAGTGAGGCCGACCTCGTCATTTCAGTCTCCAATCAGGTACGTGACAGTACCAGTCAGCCAGTGATGGAGTCTGAAAGGGAGGCCTCTACATTGGGGGACATTTGCCAATCAATATCTGCCTTGTCTTACATGGTGCAGAGTTTACAAAAAACCTTGATCACATGGAGAACCAACTACCAGCCAAGCCAGATGTTTCAGCAACCATGGGTCCCTCTGCAGTCTCAGATATAACTACTCAGCATGATTTATGGAACTTTTCCTCTACCTGAACCCCGGGTGCATATACCTGAATATTTTACGAGAGACTGCAGGAAGTTTCGAACCTTTCGTAACTCCTGTGAGCTATATTTTTGTCTGCTACCAAGAACTTTTGCATCACAGAGCACCAAAGTGGGATTCATTATTTCACTCTTTCAGAATGAACCCCAATCCTGGGCACACCACCTTTGTGAGCAACATGATCCGGCTCTGACTTCTACGGAGTATTTTTTCTCAGCCATGTCACAACTTTATGCTGATCCTTTCCGTCATCAGACTGCAGAATTTATGCTCAGCAAAGCCAAAGGCCTATAGAGGACTATGTGACTGAGTTCCGTATATGGAGTTCTGACACTCAATGAAACAAGTCTGCTCTCGGTTTCGCCTCAATCTCTCCAACACCTTGAAAGATGAGCTTGCATGAGTAGGGGTACCAACCATGCTAGAGGACCTGATAAACCTAGCCATTCAAATCGACCAATGGCTCCGGGAAAGGCAGGGTGAAAGAACTAGCAGGGGTCTCTTGATCTGCTCTGAAATAAAGACTCCTGTCCCCTCACCCACTGCTGTCACATCAGACAAACTCTCCAGCAAAAGGAGGCATTGTAATTCTCCTCGTAGGAGCTTTTGGAGACCACCTTT